TTAGCTTACATGAAACCTCGGAAAAGGCCAAATATTCCAAGCTGTACAAAAGCCATTCTTCGGTCACCAAATCAATCTTCAAACGCGTTCTATGCTGACTCCTCTAGTTTTGTAACTTATCCCTCCTTTTCTGACATAAGCCAAGCAGAACGCTGACATTTCCCGTCAAATCGTCCTTCTTGTTGAATGTGTACCTTTTTCCACACATATCATATCTTGTTGAGCCATTGTTTCTGCTCTGTTAGGTTGTACATAAATTTAGAGACATCTGACTGTTTAATCATAAACTTCTTTCTTTCTGAGGTAGCGAATACCTACAATTAATTGCCCTTTTGAATCTTGCATTTATTATTTCATGCGCATAACTGAAAAAGCAGCTAGAAGTATTAACAATCACTAACCGCATACACTACAGCAAAACATGAAATTGTTAACTGAAAGCAGCAGCGAGCCCAAATGCAAATCCTTTCGTCACCTTGGTGACTGACTGCTAAATATTCCTGCCGGAAAACTTCAAATGCACCGCTGCAATCCTTAAAGGTTCCCTCACAGAAATAGAAGCAGCCTTCCAAATATGGACTGCTAGATGTGCAACTGTTCTGATTGGTTTAACACATTTAAGGACATCAGAAAGTGCGTCTACTGCCGACCCTTGACGATTATCGTCAACTGTATGCCACGTGTGTGTGTGGCTGTTGGGCTGCGATTTGCCCTGTGAAGTGAAGTCGAACGATTGCAAGTTTCACTCATTAAGCAATGACTTATGCATTCTAATTAGGTTAATTAACCTTAGTCAGTCTGATTTATGACAGCAAGCGAGCCTTTGTTCCCAGTGAAGGTGATATAGACGTAGCATTCACGCCATCATCGCGGTGGAGATTAATCAAGATGAGGAGTTATGGGAACACCAATCCCCTATAGAACTTGTAGGCATTATCTGGTTTTGATCACAAGAAAGAAGAGCGTTCACCTCTCCCGGTGAATACTCTTCTGTCTTCTGTTCTACCACCTGGGAATCGAATTTTCAGCACTGCTACTGGTTTTTATGCTTTGTAGTTCTTGTAGTGGGTTATTTCAAGAACTCATGCTTTCACTGTTTTTGTGTGACCGAAAGAAATGTGCGCCTACTCGGCAAACGAGTTAATCTTTCTTCGTTTTCGTGCGATATGGCGTTATCATAATATAAGGGTTAGTTTACCCACCACTAATTTTGTTTCGCCTAAAAGCAACAGGATTATTTACTAGGTGTGGCAATAA